GGGGGGGGGGGGGGGGGTGAGGGGAGGAACACGCGGAGCCGCTGCCGCCGCCAAAGGACAGTGATCAACACGTCTTGAACGAAACGTTTTTGGATATAACCAGACGCTGGTAAAATAAACCGCGGCGGGAATGATACACCGCGACAATCACAACACGCGAAAGACGCAAACAGCACAAACCCGACACAAAAGAGACAGGCAGAAACAGCTCCCTGCAAAATCGGTTACAGTTGGAGAGCGTTAGGACGGAATAGGCAGCGCGGACGCCACGGTCTGACAAATCGTAAAACCCTAGAGAGACGCCGGAAATAAGGCCGGGCCAGAAGATCAAGACCCAAGAAGAGAGCTACCAAACCTTGCCTGTGCGGGGTGTGCAGGCTCGAACGCCGAGCGCCCCTCGCATGTCGAAGGCGAGGCTCGCGTCGCGGTACGTGGAGTTCCGGTCGAAGACGTGGTCGAAGGCCGCCACGTTGGGCAGGTACCACTGCACCCCCTCCGTCAGGCCGGCCTCGTTGGCCTGAACGACGCCGTCGCGGTGCGCACGCAGCACCAAACCGGTCAAATGTCAGCAGCAGCAGCAGCAGCAGCATACTCAGCGTGATCGACAACAACAGCAGGGGGAGTGCCAGCGGAATCGGGGGGCAAGCACCAAGGCGGAGCAATGTAAGCAGCAGCAGCAGCAGCAGCAGCAGCAGCATGACAGTGCGTTCGACAGCAACAGCAGCGGCAGCGGAATCGAGGGGCGACGAGCTTAAGCAGAGGCCCAAGGCCCAAGAGACGAGCACAAGAAATACATCCCTCCACGCCGGGGGTGGGCGGGAAGCTATGAAGACCTGGCAAGGGTGGTACGCGACAAGGATAACAAGCAGCGACGTCTCGCTCGCTGACGGATGTACCGAAACGCTCTCGTCCGTACATGCAACAGGTACGCAAAACCCCTTCTTCTTCCGCACAACGGGAGGGGCGCGCGAGCACACACACACATCCGCGGAGGCGACGGTACAGAGCTACCGAAATGCCAACACGCCCCAAAACGCCTCGTCTCGCAGTGAGAAAATCTTGAAACGGTCTTTTTCACTCAAGCCGTAACGTAACGCAACCAGCTCCAATCGACAAGCGTGCAAAAATCCACGCCACGCGCCATCCCCCACCGGAGCTCTCGTGTACCTACCTACCGCTGTAATCTTTTTGGCCCCTTCACTCATCACCACACTGAGCCCGCTGATCAATGAACCATCTATTAATACGTCACTGTTATTGGGGGTACAACGCGAACGGGCACTGGAACGGGTGTGGGTGTGTGTGGGTGTGGTCTTCAACTACGATGGATAGCACCAAACGGCGGACCGTCTGTGTGCACGTAGGCATCCCAATTCCCTTGCTACTATTTACCATACGCACACGCCGCCATTTATTCCCCCCCTCCCCCCCCCCTCGGTGATTGCCATCGGGGTTGGGTTTTCGTCGCTTGGCAACGACGTGGTAAAACAAGCCGACCACATCGTGAGCTCGGCAACCAGGTTAGCGCTTTTTGTTTTTGCGGTAACCATGAATGGTGGTCGAGTAGACTATGTTGTGCGGGGTCGAAAACCCTCACTCCCCGCAAAGGGATGATCGCACCACGTCGTGTTAAAGTGGTCAAGCACCCTCGAGGCCGTTACACTGCTCACAACTGTCTCTGGAAGTAACACCAGAAAATGAACCATTAACAAGTCATACCAACTGTCATCCGTACGCAAGGAAGTAAGCACAACATGCCGAACACCCTTAGCAGGATGCAGCGCACCCTTCATGCGACTCGCCGATTACCTCACGGTGCTTCGCGCTTGGTGATGTGAGAGCCTGGTCCGGTGACAACCCGGCGTGCTCCGTCCCGGCTTTGTAGGGATGCGAGGTCAATCGCATAAAAAACTACGGCATGCACGACTGAGTACACCCCGCCCCCCC